TGTACAAGCCATCTTGGGTTTAGAAATCGGTTATCCAGATTTTCTAAGCAAATCTAGTATTTTATATACACATCAGTAATTTCATCAGATCAATATTTCTTTAAAACTTCTTATCCAACTTCCATGGTCAATTCTTGTTTTTTTACAACATAAGGGTATTTTCATGATTTTACCTAATTGAAGTTTTCTCATAATTTATTATCCAACCACCTTTAATGAGATAAATTATAATTTACATAATCAGGACTGATTTGTAACACCCTCAACCCATATCCGACCCGGATTCGAGTCCTAGGTGTCACATTGACTTTTCAAAACATTTTCCTTTACAAGTGGATAAAAATCCAACTCACAATTCGATAAAATGAATATTTTATCATTAATTGACATAAAGGGGTTTTACAAAACATATCAGAGCTTATACTATTCAAATCTTTATACTACATGCCAACTACATTCTATAAAACAAAATGCATATATTTAATATATTTTTAATCCGATATTCGTAAGGAATATGCTGACCTGTCTTGCTCCTCTTAGATTCTCTTCTTGCTTCTTTAACCTACGTGTGAAACAATCACACACTAAGTCTATGACTTAGTGAGGCTTATAAAACATATAATATAAACTAAACTTCTAACAATGCATATGAATAATTAATGTTATTATAACATACATCTTCATGTACACTTCATAAAATGAATACATACATACACAAACCTTATAATATCACATATGAGTTTTACTATTTCATATTCCTATAATCATTTAATTCACACTACTTAGCTTATATCACATTCTACTATCTTCATTTAAGTTGTTTACTTACCCTATTCTTAATCCTGTAATTTTGATCACAATCCTACATATCTTATATCTCATTTCTATATGTTTCTATTTAACATTTCACCCATAAATTCTCATTACATATTCTAATATCCTAATTTCTTATATTCTCTTAATTCATTCCTCACCCAATCTTCATTTAATAAACATATATTTGCATAACTTATTGTTATTTGATTCCTCTGATATTCTCATATGATTTCTTAGATTCTTATACTAAATTTCATATCCCTTACTAATTTAGCAAGTTTAGTTCACAGTTCTATTTTAAACGTATATATCTTCCTCCACCACTTATCTAATATCCTTTTATACTTATCTATATACCTTTTCCTTTAATTAATATACTATCTGCTTGGTCTCAATTCTCATTAATCATATAGTTCACCACTTCCTTATCTATGTATATATATATAGCGTTCACTAGATTTCTCATGAAATTACCTCTAATATATCATATAATTATATTATATTCACTTACATTCCCATATATCATATCAACATATTTCACATAGAACATATCATATATACAATAAATGAAACTCATACATTCACATCCAAATGTTCAATCACATATGACAATCATGTTAATTTCTGTATATTATTTCTTTATTGGCCTATGTATATCTTGGAGAACTAAAGATATGTGAGTTCATTGAGGTTGTGCACTGATGCTGTTACCACAGCTCGAATAAATTCCCACTAGGGGCACTGTATATTTGTCCTGAAGGACAACTCTTTAAGAACCATACACATAATACAATGGACCAAATAAGTGTACCGAAGTACCACATATATATTCCACAGAATTACATATATGTCCCGAAGGACCACGTAGAACCCTTGACTCTTGGCATGCCAACTATACATCTAGCTCTCATGACACGTAACATGGGCATCATTATTATGTTTACCATATATTCATATAGCCATATCACAAAACATATGTTCTTATCATATCACTCATACTCTCATAAATCATATCCACATGACTTATCTTATAAACATATGTTCACATACTTTAGCTTACTTCACCTTCCATATATTCATACCATTCATTGTCACATAATTGATATATTAATCACATAACAATAACATACATTCACACAGATCATACCACATATACAATAATATATCACAATTATACTCATATCAATAACATGTTTATATGTATGTTAATATAGGAAATAGACTTGTCACAAGTCTTATTTTCATTCATCATAATATATCAACTAATACACACTCACCTTAGCCTTGCTTGCTTTGACTCGATCCTAACTTTTGGATTGTTCCGGAACAAGATTACGTTCTATATCTACATAATAATACATTGATACATATCAGTCTATTAATTAATATATTCTAATCTATCACTTCTTAGAATAAAAGAAACGTTACTTTCATCTCTTAAATAATGTAGGTATCGATGCACTCTACAGTGTATCAATGCATCCTTTAACGACTGCATCGATGCACTACTTATGCATCAGTATACAAAATTGCATTCGATGTTTTCATCTTAAGGGGGTGCATCGATGCACTAATTGCATTCGATGTTCATTTATTTGAGAGTGCATCGATACACATTGAAGATGCATCGATGCACACAACCCAGAAATTCCATTTTAAGCACGAAATTCACTCTCTTTTCATCTCAACTCTTCATCTTTAACTTCCTTTAATATTCCTAACTTTCATACACACACTTAAACTCATTTCTACTCAATAATCACTTCTTTAAACTCAACATCCTATCCTTTATATAGCATTCAAGAATTACACTCAATTTCCAACATGCTCTAAACCTAATTCTAATACTTCATATTCCTTAATTTAACCATGTACAAGTCAAATTCATCTTCAAACTCTATTAACTTATTCTATTTCAAATATTCACTTAAAAAACTCATTTTTCTTAATTTCTCATAACTTGTTAATCTTTGAGTTTTAAGCCACCTAAAGCTTTCCTTAATCTTTCTTAACATCCCAAGAATCAAAACAAGCTTTAAAACGAAAGAATTAACCAACTGAAGACCCACTTACCTTATACAAGACTCCACGGTGGAGAGGAGAAAGAAGAAGACTGAAGAAGGTTCTGTAATAGAGGGACATAACTAACAAAATTAAAAACTCAAAATGCCAATTTAATACTTAGCTACCAAGGCAAGTGACCAAAATAATCTTATTCAAACCATTAGACAACATTCATAATTATATAGAAAATAGTAGACAAGGTTGAATTCTTACCAAACTTGGATGACTCCTGTTGTGATTTACCCTTAATCCTTTATTAAATTTTTTCCCCTAAAAACCACCTGCATTGAATCATTCCACCATTTTTTTATTCCATTACTTAATATTCAAAGCTTCAAGTTGTATTCTGTAGATGAACAAGGGAACCTCGTCGATATTTATTTGAACGCCGCCGACTACCGCATCAACCGTCGTCACTGGTCGTCTTCTGAGAACCAACATACATGGTTCGAATCACCTCAATCTCCTCATCACTTTTAGTATTCCACTGTTCATCTCCATCACCGCTTACTCTTACCAAATTCCGCTTTCCCATCTCGATGAGTTGCATATACACCTCATGGTCGAGCTTAACAGAGCTAAGCAAAGCAGATGAAACGCAAGAATTCTCTTCAGGGGATATTGCCGAAGTGGAGCGACATGAGAGGGTAGAATCGTCGAGCTAAGACATGGAGTGAGCGATGAGGGTAGCGACCGATGTTTCTTTCCAAAGATCCTACTTCTTTTGATCACACCAAATAATGTTACACCTTTTTACAACGAAGTGGAAACCCCAACAGCTACCCAATTAAAACCTATCATTTGTTTCACCTTGTTTTGTTCTTTACGTCTGTTAATAGCGCAAACTAAGGTAACCGAGAACTCAAGGCTTTGAGACTTGTTCACGAGCTGATGCATGCTCAACTTCACAGGTCTTTTAACTAAACCAGTTACTTCAAGGGTCATGTAATCCTAGAAAGCTATAAGAACCAAGCACCGGCTGTAGTTTTCTCTACGGTAGAATCAGAATCAACAGACGGCGCGGAAAAAGAGGAATCAGGATCAGTAGCCATAGATTGCCATCTCAAATTTAATTTGTGCTTCGTATGAACGAATCTACGACTCAAATGAGGAGGCGAAGGCTTTGGCGTACAAGAAACCACCAAGAATCAACTCAAACCAACCATCCTTGAGAAGAAGAAAGATGTTCGACCTTGATTTGCACTTTTTGCTCTCAATTAAACCTCGTATCCAGTGGTGTGATTTTTCTAAAAGATTTACAGAGAAATCGAAGCAGACAAAGAGAAAACATTAACTCTTGAAGCAAATGTGAATGGCGAAGATGAATCAGAAGCCGGTAATGCTGCCAATTAAGTGGAATCATAAGGTTACCTGCTTTTTTTATGGATATTTTAGTTCCCTAGACAATGACTTCCATATTTTTTTATTATATGAATGGAGATTGTTGTTGGGGAATAACAAAGCAAATAATTTCTTTAATTGATTTCCAGCTTTGGTGGATACTGGCCGAAAATGAAAGCTGGAAGCAATGGGTTCCAAGCAATGCCATTATCATTAATCTAATCACATCTCACCCAACAATTTGTCCACTTCTACCTACTCTATCATCCTCAATTTGTTTAATAATATAATGATATGATAAAATAATTATTTGCCAACCAACTTCATATCATTTCACATATTTAAACTGAAAGAAATCTAACTCCATATTGGGGTGTGACACTACGTATCCGGACTGCTGCAGATCTTTTACTAAAGAGAGAAAATTTACAGGTGTTTATAAAACACTCACGACTCACAAGAAAACTCTCTAGTATTGGGAGAAAGAAATGATTTGTGGTGATTTTGAAGTTAAATGAGTAAGAGTATTTATAGTTGAAGCTTAAGGACTAATCTTTGAAAATACCCTAAAGTAGAGGGACTAAAGTAAAATAATCCCAAGCATGAAATTTAACAATTTCTGCCCACTGGCACCGAAAGTTTCTTCTGCTAGCAAACCCACCGAAAATTGCTTTGAATCTTCAACAATTGTTGGCTGGCCACCGAATTGACTTTTAACAATTGTTTGAATCTTCAACAATTGTTGGCTGGCCGCCGAATTAACTTTTAACACAAGTATCAATCTTATATTGACCCCAAAGAGAATCAAGGTTTGAACAACCTCCAATGGCCATATTGGCAAGCTTGTATCAGAGCATTCTGTAAGAAACAATTAAAACAAACAATATAACCCATGAATTAAGTTTGAAAAAACCCTAAAAGCCACATGAATGGTCATTAGTTGGAGTTTAAGTGACAAAAAATGTATTACCTGACCCCTATAGTTTCTGAGATTGATATCTACTCCAGACTCAAGCAAGAGTGAAACTATCTTATTAAAATGAACAAAAAAATAACCATTATGATTGATTTGCAAGATACATTTGCAGGCTGAAATTAAGGCATTGAATACCTCATAGTGGCCTTGAGCAGCAGAGTAATGGAGAGGCGAGTTTTGAGCTCCGAAAGTCGAATACCTTGAAAGCCTTGGATTGTATTCCAATAAAGCCTTGGCTTCTTGAAGATCCTCATCTCTTACTACTGAAACTAATCGTTCCCCAGATGCGGAACATCCAAAGGAATTCCCCACAATGCTTAGAAATCTCATGGATGACCAAAGCCAACAAGTTTGTTCTCAATGCCTTCAAAATAAAATAAAAAAATGGTGGGGCAATACAGGATCTCTCCTAAATCATAATCCTCAAACCATCCAGAACTAGCGAAATAGACCAAACCAATAACAACGAAGCCATCAAAAACACATCGAAACAGAAGTTGTAACGATTAATGCTTCACTTCGGATTGAAAGAAGAAACTAAAGCTTCCACAGTCAAATTCCCATCCATTGAACATTTAAAATCTTCAGAATCTCCACTCCCTCAAGTAGAATTATCTCTTCCAACAAATACCCTACTCCAAATTCATCAGAAAGAACCAAAATCTGCAGAACCCAATTACAGATACTCCATAAAGAATCGAAATTTGAAATAGCCTGATCAAATTAACATATTTTCTTTTTCTTGTGTGGGTGGGTGGGCGTTTGGGGGGGGACAGTTGATCAAAGTTGAAGCCTTGTAGAAAAGGACTTGACCAGATGGCTGATATGTTTGTACTTAAATGTGGAATGATGGGATGGGGATAAAGTGATACACAAACTGAAATTTGCTACAAATAAGTAAAAGGAAAAGAACAATATAAAATGGGGGAGATGTTTTTATGAATACAACAACCCTTTTACTCAGCCTCAATCACCAAATTGACCTGTCAGAAGTACTTTGTAAATTAATACTCTAAATTAATACAGGTTTAATATAAAAAAAACTCAAATTATATAGACAACAACCCTTTTACTACAATCTCAATCACCATTTGAAGTGTTTTTAAAAAAATTAGTGTTTTATTAAAAAAATTATTAAAATAAAAGGATCATTGTCTATATAGACACAAATTCAATATTTGCAAAGTCGATAGAGATATTTTTCCCTCAATAAATTGTAGGTGAACTCTTTGATCTTAATATAAATATCGTTAATGAATAATACGTGAGTGACAATCTATAATTATTTATACAGTGAAAAAATGGAGAGATTTTAGTGACAATGTGTGGTTCATCCCTTTTAATGACGGTGTATGAGTAATCTCTAGATATTTTTTGTCCTGATGTGGATGAGGGAATCCACTAAAAAAGAGAGTCTCCTCTCTTCTCGGTAAAAAGATATGAGGATTTATTTTCTTTGTACGTGATGATACAAGTTGTGTAATGATATGAGAGGAACAATCTTCTTTTAGCATGCTTTGCTTAGGTTACGATAGTTTACCCTTCTATCATATTGGTTATTTAGTAAGAAGACAGTTTCTTTCGGAATGATCCCTCTAGAAAGAATGAGGGGTATGTCACATTACATAGTGACATGATTGATAATCACTTATGATTTAATTAGGGGAGATAAAGAGAACGTATATTGAGCCTATAAATTATTTGGGTTGGTTGTCAAATGTTCGTTGTGGAACATTCCTTCTAAGAATCTAAAATGATGGTTGATTTGTAATGTACATGATCATTGTTTACACAAAGATTGTTGGACTAAAAGATCATTTTCACAATTACATATTTTTGAAAAATACTTTAATAGAATAAAATGATTATTATATTTATAGACACAATTCAAAAATTGATAAGGCAATATGGACATGTTCCCTTCAATAAAAAAAAAAACTGGGTTTGTAGTCGTACAAAATGAAAAAAAAATAAACAAAGCAAAGGTCAAATTATGTGTTAAAGCGGGCATGTTTAGGCAAGATGATAACTATATAAAATGTGTTGTCTTGGCCACTTGTGGGGGCAGTTGGAATCTCCGGGCATCTCTATGTTTAGTTTAGTTACTTCTCTAATCCATGTTCTTAAATAGAGCTTTACAAGTTTAAGCCTCAAATATTTCTTTATTCATACCAAGTATCATTAATTATGATATCTCCCAAATATAATTCTTTGGAGATATAATATTTCATCAATTTATTATAATTATCTCTAGATAGGTTTAACCACTAACATACTCACGTAATCTACTAACAATTAAATTTATTGATTCTGTCGGCCTACAAATAACTATTGTGACCTTATTTTAAACAACAACACTAAATGTTGTTATAAAACCTTTCAGTCAAGATTAAGAGAAAAATCTGAAACCTCATTTATTCTTCTTCTGTCTCCTCATAAAGACATAAGATTTTGTCAATAGTCAACAATAGACTAATATGCGACTTTTCGTTCAAATTAAAAAAGAGTAAATCGCCTACTATAATTGTGATCCATTTATTCTTGCCAACAAGATTCAAGAAATAAATTAAAATAAATAATAATTGTTGTTGAAGAATTTTATTAAAATTTGATAATCAGGTTCTTATCTGAGTTCTGTGTAGACACAGTAGTTTGTGATATATGATGGTATAATAAAAAAAATTATTCAGAAATGAATGCATAATTTTATATTAAGGGATGAACTTATAAAATTTTAATATTCGAAAATAAATTATTAATTAAAATACATAAAAAAAATCTAACATATATACTAATTTAAAATTTTCATAGAATAACTATCCTCTCATGCTCCCTCGATTCATCCTGCTTGTATCAACTGTTTAGTATTAATACAAGGTGTATGGAGATACTGAAATTTGGCTAGAAAGTAGCTGACGATTCTACAATCTCAGCTCAATAAGAAATGGGCTAAAGGTTTGGGTTTGGCCTCACAGATTACCAAGTGGTGAGGATATTCCTCCGAAATTTGCATATGAGTTGGAAAAGCGGGAGCCAGTCATGCAAAAAGATTGTGAAATAAGAAAAAAAAGCTTGACGACTTCAGATTCTTATATATATTCCATTATCCATTTGACCTTTTTGATTCTCTGTCGAATCATAGTCCCATTCCCACCACATTTCTCATTTTTAACATCGTTTTGAAAATCAGATCGGATCGATTGATTCAATCGAAAATTGTTATCTAGTCTGGTTTAATCTATACGGTTGAACCGTTACTAGTGAATCGGTCAGAACCGTTGAACCGTTCGAACTAGACCGGCTGAAAACCGGAAAAAACCAAAAATTTTGTTTTTTTTTTAAAAAAAATTAAACCAAACGACGTCATTTGTTAAACGAGCCAAGTCGAACTCGAGTATTGTTTAGCTCGACTCGAACTTGAAAACTTTAAAAGTAAGTTCAACTCGACTCAAACTCACGAGCTAAAAATTATCAAATTCAACTCAAACTCGAAATATAATATTGAAACTTGAACTCAAAAAAGCTTGAACTCAAAAAAAATTTAGAAACTCGATTGAAGCCTAAAATTCAAGCTTAATTGAAGTGAAAGAATAGTTTACTCAATACTCACCAAAAGGCTCCATGATTTTGAATGTCAAATTACCTCTATTATTTATAGAAGTTAGTTGTGATGCTCTTCTACATTTCTTAGTCATGTATGATTGTTTTGTTCTCATATTTTTACTCTTTAGACTTTTAGGATGCTCTTGTATGTTTCTTAGCCATGTGAGATTATTTTTAGAAAAAAGTTAAACTAAACAAATATCATTTTGTTATATTTTTTTAGCCTCAAATTTATTTTTTAATTATAATTATATAATTATATTTATTATTTAATATATTTTACCTTAAATATTATATTGTAGTTAATTTGAATCATTTTATTTCGCTTGATTTTATGGTTTTTAACTTATATATATATGTTATGACTTAATTTAAATATGACTTGTGATATAAAAAATTATTTTTTATTAAATATTTCGGTTAAATCGTAAACTGATAGCATGACCGGTTCACTAACCACTCCGATTACGAAAACCATGATTTTTAAAGATGACACTCCTCCTCTCGTTACCTCCGCCTTCTTCTTCTTCGCATTGCTTTTCCTCTTCATTATCTTCCTGCCACCAATCCTCTGTCGTCGTTACCACCGGTCGCCCTATCCGTTTCCTGCCAGTCGCGGCTACAACCACCACTCACCATCATCAACAGTACCTTTCTATTGACAGGTCTTCGCTCACTGTTGCTGAAGCGGTTGAAGAGGACCAGCTTTGGGCTGCTGCTTGCCTCCGCGTTCACTCATTCAATGACTTCCAGTCTCCCACCTATGGCATCCAAGTGAGACTTTCTTTCTTTCTTTTGGTTAACCCCAAAAAAGAAAAAAGAATTTGTGGGGTGCTTTTGTTTTTATATGGGGAGGTGTAAAAAGGGTCAACGCGGGAGTTTTAATTGGTTTATTAACAATTTGGTAGCATTTTGTTTAGGGTTTTAACAAGTTATTGAAGCTTTAAAGGATTTTCGATTTTGATGTTTGTGAAAAGGGAGTTTCATGTTATCTCATTAATAGCTGAATGTCAACGCCTCTCAAATTTGTGATAGGGTCCTCCGAAGTTGGAACTGCCTAGTCTTAGAGTTTCATCTGAAAAAAAATCCTTGGGGACTTTCACCCAAGCCTCTGTAATTTTACTTCCTACGAAAGTCGCTTGTTTGGGGAACCTGGTAAAACCATCAAAATCACTTGTAAGAACTATTGTTAATCTTATCATATAAGAAATTTGAAATTTTGAGGGTGGCTCCAACCCCGGCAGTCCATACCTATTTCCAATCATAGGCATCTTCTGGTATCCTAGATATTAAACGGTCTCTAGTGTGTAGAAATGTATAGAAAAGAACAGCATGCAGTTGTTCTCGGACTGACATGATGTTTTAGAGTTACTATTGTATTGTAAGAACTAAGAAGTAGTTTTATACCCTATTAGTGCAGCATTGTTTTAATTACAAGGAAAATGAACTAGAAAGAAAAATGTTTCCTGAAGGATTGTAATTTTTCTATATATTATCCTCTTATTATGATACTTACGGTATTTAGTCCTTTTCAAGTATTAGGATCATAAAAGGTACTTGGCTGAACCGGAATTTGTGGCGCTAAAGGAAAGAATTGCTGGGAAGAGGGAAGGCTTTAAGAGAGTATCTTGCATAAACACTACGCTTCCATTGTCACAATTGCCAAGCTCTGCTACTGATTTACGTGCTTCATGTAAGGTTTGTTTGCCTTCTTTTTTGGTTTTTGCTACTTATAATGCTTCAAATTTTAAATGTCATGTTGGCATGTCAATGCTATTGTTTTAATTGATTAGAGATTTTAAAAAGATTCAATGTGCCATAGATTTCTCTAGGAGAATCTCTGTAATAATGATATGTTGAATTTTTTTTTACGAACTTAGGAATGTCTTTAAACACGATATTTTGAGTTAGGATGAATTTTTATGGGCGTCTGTTTGTTATTACTGGACAGCTACTGGCAAAGAGCGACATATTAAGTTTTAGTTTTGTGTGTTTGGATTTTGGAACCAAATCAAATTGAACACTAGGGACTTATCTGAAAGAAAATGATCTTTAGCCATGTGGCACAATTACAAGAACCATGCAGAAAAGGATAATTCTATTTTGCTGATAGTTTTAAATGGTATCTCTGCAATATGAAAGGGTTATTAGCGAAAAAGGATGGAAGAAGATTACCTCTCAAGATTGGAACTTGAATGAATTAAATAACGGACAAGTTCACATAATAGTAACTTTCTTTTAATAGTAACTTTCTTCTTTAACTAGTTCACATAATGCTGGATAGCTGAGAGACCCCAAGTTATTAGTGGACTTGCAGGCATTAGACAGATAACTTTCTGGATATACTTTTGTAGTTAATTTTGTCTTTTTATAGGCTCTTTTGGTGCAATTCAATTCTCTAATGATTTATGTGAGGTAAAAGAAAATCTTCTCTGTTTGATGTTACGATTTTGGAGTAACAAGTGTTAGGCTCTTCTGTGTTCTCTTTATCAGTTGTAAATCTTCAATATCAAAGTTCTGCCACTTTTTCAAATATAATCTGAGCTGCAGTTCTAGACAAAGTTATGCCTTCTTGGTATTTGTTTGCTTCATCTTTTACTTCTCCTTTTTGCTCATTTTTCACCCTTTTCTTTTGTAGTTTACTTCCAATGGAGAGGATAGAGTTGTTGTTGGAACCCTTGATCTTAACCAATGTCTTTGGCTTCCAGAAGAAATAGCTGGAACGAAACCAGAGGTATTCATTTATCTCAAGATTTTTCTCATGTTACTTGTGCTTATTCAGTTATCGATATAGTTTAGGTGTTAAGGCTTCTTCTTTGTTCTTCAAAAGTGAAGCATACTTGTTTATGATTGAGGTGAGGGTATTGTATACTGTATACTGGTTGACTTGTTCCACAACAATTTGCCGGCAACCTACAAATTTCCTATTGGATTTTATGATCCAAATGCTAAAGGACTCAATCATAACTAGAAATGAATCTTTTCAAGTAAGATTTAACTAATTAAAATAGTATGAAATGACAACTGAATTTCTAGAAATATGTTTCTCACACCTTTTAGTTTCCTTGTAGCACCGATATTCTACACATCCAAAAAAAAAATGGGTACGGAGACATATGGAAAAAACTTAGTAAATTTGAACTAACTCATTTAGGCAAATACTATTTTTCAACATTCACTGCAAATACGGAGTAATGTAGCCGAGAATCACTAAATGGAAAAGAAAATTACCTAATCATAAGTCATAACAACCTATTAGCTCTAGGGACTTAACTTAGTCCATAATATATATTAGAAATAACATGGATCAAATTTATCGTGCTATAATATTTGATATATAGGTTCTAGCATCGAAATGTATAAATTGATCTCTATTTTGAGCCTGCTTTGACAGGGGATTGAAGCTGAATATGGAAGAGCATACCTGAGCAACATATGTGTAGCTAGGGAACTGTACAGAAATGGCTTAGGTTCTGACATTGTCAAGAAATCAAAGATAGTTGCTGAATAATGGGGTAACAAATGCATTTATCTTTTATGATGTTCTACCCTTTCATAATCACCCCACTTTAATAAAAGAATTGTCCTGGTAGAAGCTAAATGCAGCACCAACTTGGGCTCTTTGGTCCAGTCATTTAGAAATTTAGCCTGTTAAATATATAAATGGGTTGACTGTCTGTAAGTTCTTCTCTTTAGGATTATGCTTTGTCTGACCTTCTCTTTGTCAATGAGAAAGGGTCTCTCTCAATAGCAATGGTATAATGACATTACCAACAAGCCATTGGATGGGGAGGCCTTGGCCTAATCAAAACCAAATTAAATGTTACTTTAAAATCAGATAATGAAGGGTTAACCTCCTCAACTTCGATACACAGTTTCTAAATATTATTTATGTTTGTCTTAGTTCTTCTGAGGAAACTGAAAGGAAGCAATGATATAGTTTGTGATTGTTTTGGCTTCTCTGGACTTGAAATCGGTTTAGCACGGAAAGGACTCTGGACCCTTTTCAGTTCGGACACCTTTGTCATCGGAGTGATATTTTTTTCAGCACTAATCTAAGTTAACCATGAATATATTGCTTTTGGAACTTGAAGTCATCAAAGAAATGCTACCAGTATCATCATTTCATTGGCGGCAAGAGAAACTTGCCCCAAGGGATGATCCAAACCATGTTGCCTTCTCACTCGTGTATTAGTAAGGGACAATTTTTAATAGACTCGCACTAGAGCATTCGGCTCATCGGTAGGTTATACTCACACGTCTGTGTACAGAACTTATTCTAAATACGAAATATTTGTTTGTTGTGTTATTTCAGGCATAACCGATCTATACGTACATGTTGCCGTCAGCAACGAGCCTGCGAAGAATTTGTACTTGAAAAGTGGTTTTATTCATGAAAATGATGAGCCTGCTTGGCAAGCTAGATTTCTCGATAGGCCCCGACGGATTCTCTTATGGATTGGTGTTCCTTGCACTAATGAGTTGTAATGTTATAGACAAATATCATTGAGCTTGGTGTTCTTTGTTAGTATAAGTTTGGATTCCATACATGTTTATATCATTTAGAAAAGGCTCCCATTTCAAAATGTAATCTAATATAGTATAATAATATAAACTTGAGGCATATATTACCATGCACAATTTTATACCAACCATAACAGTACAACCGTTCTATCCACTATCAGCATTACAGTTCATCTTCAATGGCGGATTTATACTATGGTTTATCTTAAAATTTGATTTTTTTATAATTACTTATTTTATTAATTGTGTCTATTCAAAATTTTTATTTCTAATTAAATGTACGAGTTTTTTACCATATAAAGGTTGTATTTGAATATAATAAGAATCATGTACTAAGATACGAGTAATTAAGATGTTATCAATCTTAAATTTTATGATGTAACAAAGGCATAATTGTATAATAATTATTACATCCAAAATTTATGATATAATAATGACCCATACTACTTATCTAATTTTTTTAGGGAAAGAATTATAAAGGTTATACTTAAATATAATAAGAATCATATAGTAAGATATGAGTAATTAAGATGTAATCTATCTCTCTAGATTCATCGATGATTGAGACTGACAAAATAAATTATTGTAATTAAATGAATTGATGGAGATTAACATCATTTGTTTAGTCAACCTAATTGGGTATCAACAAATTATTCTTTCCAAGAAATAAGGAGAGATGATAAAAGAGTTTGATCCACAATTATTCTATTAAATTCAAACAAAATATTTTAATAAGTAATATTAAAATATCTATAAATATTCATATAAAAATCTTTTAAAAAATCTATAACTTAGAAGAAAAAAAAGGTAAAAACCTCTATACATAGTGAATGAGATTACAAATAAAAAATTTTGCTTTAAACTCAAACAACCACTCACTCTCTACAGAAACCTCTCATTCCCATTAAGAAACAGGGCAACCGACAAGGGGAGAGCTCCGGCGACCAACAAAAACAATAGGATACACAGGATGGCACGTGAAAGAATATTTCATGTCAAATCTTTAGAAATTTCAACATCAAAAAGTTACTTCTTCACGGTTATCTTTTTTTTTATTATTGATTTTTTTTGAAATGTTGAATCTTAATTGTCGTCAATTCTTTGCATTTTTGCTAGAAATTGGATTTTTCTATTGAGAACATTTGTTTGTATGTGTTGAACGAGAAAATGTATGTATTTTGTGTTGCGGAATATGATTATCGGATAGAGCAAAATTGCAACTGATAATTTGAGAAAATAAAAATGAAGATAAAGAAGACACAAATTTTACGTGGAAAACCCCTAAATAATATAGGGTAAAAACCACATGCAACGGTAGAAGAATTTTACTATTAGAAAATAGGAATTACAACTTCTCTCGATCTAACAAGAAGAAAACAATAACAATTCTCTCTTGATAAAAAGGAGAAAATAACTCTCAAGAAAACTCTCTAAATTCTCTAGTATTGGGAGAAAGCTATAATGATTTGGGATAGTTTTGAAACTAAATGGGTTAGTGTATTTATAGTTGAAGCTTAAGGACTAATCTTATAAATACCCTAAAGTCTATGGACTAATTTAACAATTTTACCATTTGTGTTTTTCAACAATTGTTGCACCTTTTGACTACTTGCACATTCGGTGCCTACCTTGTTGATTTTTCAATAATCATTTGGCTCCTACCTTGTTGAATTTTCAACAATCATTCGGCGCCTACCTTGTTGAATTTTCAACAATCATTCGGCGCCTACCTTGTTGAATTTTCAATAATCATTCGGCGCCTACCTTGTTGAATTTTCAATAATCATTCGGCGCCTACCTTGTTGAATTTTCAACAATCTCCCACTTGAAGATTTGATTGGAACAATCATATCTTCACATCATTCTTTCTACCTTGTACCTTCATGTTGCTTACATTTCTGACAGGCCATAAGAGGATCGACACCAAGTAATTTTATCAACATTGATCGCCTTCGTCATGAAATTTGCTATGTTGTCTTTGGTATGGATCTTCTGCATATCTACTATCCCTTTTTCCACCTTTTCACGAATGAAATGGTACTGAACTCGTATGTGCTTTGTCCTTGAATGAAATGTTAGATTCCTTGCTAGATGCAAGGAGCTTTGACTGTCACAAAACATAGAGACATACTCTTGAGTGTGCCCAAGCTCCTCCAATAGCATCTTCAACCAAATTGCTTCTTTACTGGCTTGTGTAGCTGCTACATATTTTGTCTTTGTTGTGGATATAGCCACAACTGACTGCAATTTTGAAACTCAACTTACAACTCCATCAGCAACTTTGAACACATATCATGTAGTAGATTTGCTTTTATCTGAATCCCCTACATAGTCAGAATCGACATACCCATTGATAAGTAAGTTTGATCCTCCATAACATAATGCAATATTTTAGGTCCCTTTGATGTATCTCAGGATCCTCTTTACTATATTCCAATGCTCTTTTCCTGGATTCGCCATGTACCGACTAACCACTCCCACTGCTTGTGCAATGTCTGGTCTTGTACATATCATAACGAACATTAAACTTCCCACTGCCGATGCATACGGTACTCGAGACATCTCCATCCTCTCTTCTTTACTGCTAGGACTCATACTGGAGGATAATTTGAAGTTAATAGGAAGAGGAGTATAAATTGGCTTACAATCTTGCATGTTGAATCATGACAAGATATTTTTCAAGTAATTCTTTTGTGAAAGCCAAATCTTCTTATTACTTCTGTCTCGGTGAATTTGTATCCCTAGAATCTTGTTTACTGATCCCAAGTTCTTCTTTTCAAATTCCCTAGCCAGTTGTGCCTTCAATTCTTCAATATGGTCTTTGTTGGGTCCTGCAACCAACATGTCATCCACATACAACAACAATATAGCAAAATCGTTATCACCAAACCTCTTGAAATAAGCACAAGGGTCTGCATTAAGTCTGTTGTATCCAATGCACATAATGAAGTAATCAAATCTCTTATACCAACACCTCGGCGCTTGCTTTAAACCGTACATAGATTTGTTCAACCTGCAAACCAAGTTCTTCTTTTCTTTTTCTTTAAAACCTTTAGGTTGGAGCATATAAATCTCTTCTTCAAGATTTCCATGAAGAAAAGCTGTTTTAACATCTAGCTGCTCTAGATGTAAGTTCAATGTAGCACACATCGCCAAGACTACTCGAACTATTGTTAGTCGAACCACAGGAGAAAAAATTTCATTGAAATCAATACATTCTTTTTGAGCATATCCTTTGATCACCAGTCTTGCACGATACCTCTCAACTTGATCGTCACCATTTCGCTTGATTTTAAAGACCCATTTATTACCAATTGGCTTCCTTCCTTGTGGTAGTGGCACAAGGTCTCATGTATTATTTTATGAAGGGCTTCAATTTCTTCTTGCATTGTCATCATCTATAGTGAAGCATCTGAGCTATTTATTACCTCTTGGAATGTTGATGGCTCACTGTCTTCTGTTAAAAGTTAGTATGCAATATTTCCTTCTATAACATAATCTGAGTGCCAATTGGGACGTCTTCTCACACGATCTGATTGACGAGTTGTTGGAGCTTCAGAACTCTCTGGTTCTTGTTCATCATGTATTGGTTCTGCTTCAGAAGAATCTCCTTGTTCAAGCTCATTTTCCACATGTATCTGTGTAGTCTCTGACTTTTCAGCGCTATCATCGTCTTCTTTTCTTTGTAGTTTATCTTCTATAAATATAACATCCCTGTTAATGATCACTTTGCATGCAGTGGGATCCCACAAGAGATACCCCCTTACACTATCAACATACCCCAAGAATTTACATTTCCTAGATTTTAGATCCAACTTTGAAATTTCTTGGGAGTTGTACATCACGTACATAATACTTCCAAATACATGGAGGTTTGAATAATCAGCTAGTTTACAAGTCCACATCTTCATTAGTGTCTTCAGCTCTATTGCAGTTGATGGAGCTCGATTCATCAAATAACAGGCATTATTGATTGTTTCTGCCCAAAATGATTTTTCTAGGCTTGCAGCCCTCAACATTGCTCTTGTTCTTTCTAACAAGGTTTTGTTCATCCGCTCTGCCACTCCATTTTGTTAAGGAGTGTTCGCCATTGCGAATAGTCTTTTGATGCCTTCTTTATTGTAAAAGTCATCAAATTCTTCACTTGTGTATTCTCCTCTATTATCTATTTTGAAACACTTGATCTTATTTCCAGAATCAAGTTCCACCCGTGCTTTGAAGTTTTTGAAAGTTGAAAACATATCTGACTTCTTCTTAATAGGGTACACCCAACATCTCCTGGAGTAGTCATCAATAAATGAGAAAGTATTTTGCTCTTCCTATAGATGTAACTGGTGCTTGCCATGCGTCAGAATGAACCAATTCTAGAACACTTTTGCCTCTAGAATTTAACGTGTTGAATTTCAACCGGTGTTGCTTACTTGTTATGCAATGCTCACACAAAGTAAGTGATATCTTTATTAAGCCTAGAAGTAGTTTTTGCTCCACAAGGACTTTCATTCCTTGTTCTGACATGTGTCCAAGTTTCTGATGTCATAGCATTACAGAATCTGAACTACATGAGGCAACAGAGGCTTTTGCTTCTAGCAAAGTCTCTCCCTTTAGTATGTACAAGTTTGTTGCTATCTTTTCGTCTTTAATCACCACAAACGCTTCACGGAACACCTCCATGATTCATTTTTGTGTTTCAATCTTGCTTGCATTATTATCCAACAATCCGTAGGATAATAAATTTTTCTTCAGACCTTTCATGTGTCACACATCTCGAACAATTTTAATTGTTCCATCATACATCTTCAATTTGATGGTTCCCACACCAACGATCTCTAAGGCATGATCATTGCAACTATACACATATCCTCCTGAGATAGGTTCATAATGATGAAACCATTCTCTTCTTGAGGTCATGTGATATGTTGCTCCCAAATCAATGAGCCATATATCTGCAAATCTTTTTCTACCTTCCAAGGTGGTTGACGCTTCATAGCATAGAGCAT